TTAACCTAACCAGAGACATGAAACATGACAGGTAGACACACGGACCAGGGAGAGATGACAAAAGGGACTAAGAAACCAAGGACTAAACTGCAAACTATTGAACAACTAGATGCGTTAAACTACACATGTGGATACAAAAATATGCATTAGAACTTAAACCCTGGGCCTCATGGCCTAGTACCATGACACAGCTGATGTTTGCTGGAGCCACAGCTGTAAAGCTGCTGGTCATGATGTCGGTTTGGATATGTGGTGAGAGGGAAACATGAAGATGAAACCAGGAGATGTCCTCACTGAATCATCAGAGCTGTGATGGAGAAACAGGTTTACCTTTTAGGTGACATGGATGAGTTGAAGTTATGAACTGTTTCTGAGAGACAAATAACACCAGGATGCTTTTCTAAGCAGCTGACAGCTGGTAACTGTGCAGGGGCGGGTCTAGGAAAGTGTTGCCAGGGGGGCATGTAGGGCATTAACAGTCTCTCACAGAACAGACTGTGAGAGACTGTTCCAGGGAAAGTAATACAAAAAACACGAGACTAGACAAGGACATAAGAGCTAAGCAGGGAAGCTAAGAGAGAGAGGAGAGGAGAAAAGTGCGACCGCCTTCGCCAAGAGCCAAACGAGAAACCATAGTCTTTTGCATGTTTCTTTAACACCGTTGTGTCTGCACTGTCTTGTGCCTGTATCCTTCTGTCTGGTGTTGCACTGTCTTTGTTTTTTTTTCTCAATTTTTTACATTTAAATAATATCACTCAGTCTTCCTATTTTCATCTTCATATTATTAACCGCCTTCGTCCCTCACTCACTCCAAACAGTACCGCCATATTTGTCAATGCTCTTGTCACATCTCTTTTTGTAATTCTCTTCTCTGTGGTCTACCTCATAAATCCCTCCATGAATTGCACTTAGTTCAAAATTACAGCTGCTCGTATTGTATCCAGAAATAGATGCACTGAACATATAACAGCTGTTTTTAAACAGCTCCATTGGTTTCCAGTTCACCTCTGTGCCAATTTCAAGATCCTGCTTCATACTTTCAAAGTGCTTCATAACCTCGCTCCTCCATAGTTATCTGATCTTGTCCATAAATAGGGCTTTGGAGCAATCTCTTTGCATCCAGACGCAACCTGTCTCTATACCGTCCTTTTTCTCTTGAGCTGTTTTTAAAGCATGGTTGGTAGCAATCTTCCTTCCAACACAGTTTGTTTTGATACGTGCCCTTCAAATGTGGCGCCGTGCACCCACAATACATTGTGCCGTTACATCAGTTCCAAAGCCCTATACTCACCCCCTCGTACACTCGGCTCTTTTTCAGCTTCCCTTCTGTCTGTTCCACCTTGCCCGCCTGATGGGACTCAGAGCCTTTGGTAGACTATGGATGCACTTCCACCAGATCTCCAGACCACAAACTGTTTCTTCACTTTTAAATTGTATTTTAAAACCATCTATTCAGAACTGCATTCCCTTCATTATGACTCTGTCTTAGTGCATTTTTACCATGCTTAGCTTTTATACTGTCATGCTTGTTTTTTT